GGGTGTCTTTCAAGAAAAATGGAAGCCACTGGATCCAACTGACTTGCATGCTTACATTGGAATTCTGGTGTTAGCTGGAGTATACAGGTCAAAGGGTGAAGCAACTGCAAGTTTATGGGATGAAGAGAATGGAAGGCCAATCTTCTGAGCAACAATGTCTTTGGAGACATTTCACATGATCTCTCGTGTGATCCGATTTGACAACCATGACACCAGAGCTGGTCGACGCGAGAGAGACAAACTTGCAGCGATCAGAGATGTCTGGGATAAATGGGTCGAAATCCTGTCTTTACTGTATAATCCTGGCCCCCATGTTACTGTCGATGAGCGCCTTGTTCCATTCAGAGGACGCTGTCCTTTCCGACAGTATATGCCAAGCAAGCCTGCGAAATATGGGCAGCCTGTGATGCAAAATCCAGTTATGCGTGGAACCTGCAGGTATATACTGGAAAGCCACCTGGAGGAGCACCTGAGAAGAATCAGGGAATGCGTGTGGTATTGGAGATGACTGAAGGGCTGCAAGATCATAACATCACATGTGACAACTTCTTTACATCCTACCGTCTTGGAGATGAACTTCAGGACAGAAAGCTGACTATGTTGGGAACAGTCAGAAAAAATAAACCAGAACTTCCCAGTGAGATTTTGAAGATGCAAGGAAGACCTCTGCATTCCTCAAAATTTGCTTTCACGGAGAAAACAACATTTGTTTCTTACTGCCCAAAGAGAAACAAGTATGTTCTTGTGATGAGCACAATGCACAAAGATGCATCTCTGAGCACAAGAGAGGACATGAAGCCACAAATGATCCTGGATTACAACGCCACCAAAGGAGGAGTTGACAATCTTGACAAAGTCACAGCAACATATAGCTGCCAGCGCAAGACTGCCCGTTGGCCCTTGGTGGTTTTCTACAACATTGTGGATGTGTCTGCTTACAATGCCTATGTGCTGTGGATTGAGATCAACCAGCAGTGGAATGCCAGCAAACTGTACCGACGTCGACTTTTCCTGGAAGAATTAGGCAAAGCACTCGTCACTCCCAAGATCCAGAACCGGGCCAGGCCAGCTCGAGCCCCAGCAGCTGTCATGACAAAGGTCCAGGGCAGGGCATCTGACTAACCCACAATGGATCCTTTGGATACAGGTGCAAAGAAACGCAAAAGATGCCAAGTCTGTCCCTCCCGAGTTTATTGACTGTGCAGGCTGGAGCGGCAGGGTGCAGGCTGGCTGGAGGATCCACGGAGAGGCAAGGATGACAGCCAAGCGAAGAGGCACACAGAGGTTCAAGATCTATGGAGGAATAATCTGGCGCCGGCTTGTTGAGCGGACCAGATCTTTATAGTGGGGATGATTAGGATTGAGTGCAGGTGCGCCTCGTCCGCTGCAGGGAACCAGCCACAACCCCTAGCGCTCACAGCAGCTGCAAAGGGAAACAGAGAAGGGGAGGAGGAGAGACGAAAACAACAACAAACAACTACACAAATCCTCACAAATACAACAGTCAAGGTTTCTGAGTAAATCAAAAGTGAGAAATAAACCGACAACTTGGGAACAATTAGGGACAAGGCAATCACAAGGGAGGAAAAACACATCAAGGGAGGAAGTGAAGTGAACCCATAGATACAAGAGGCATGAAAGTACAAAAAACAAGGGCCGTTAAAGCTGCTTGAAGTGACCCACTTGTAACCAGTGTAACCTGCGTAGTGTTCATAGGATATTCAAATTATTATTGGGTCTGTGTACTTAGTCCCTTGGGGCTTGGGGCTCTTACCGTAAAAAACACAAAACGAAAGCACTCCTCTTCTCGTTTTTTGTTTAAATCCAAAACGGTAAAACGGAAGTGGACAGTCGTTTTCTCGTTTTTCGTTTTAAATCCAAAACGGTAAAACGGAAGTGGACAGTCGTTTTCTCGTTTTCGTTTAGAACCCAAAAACGAGACAAACTCGCATAGGTCTCATCTGACCAGAGCATCTTCTTCCACGTGTTTGCTGTGCCTCTCACGTGGCTTGTGGAAAACTCCAAACAGGATTTCTCATGGTTCTTTCAACAGCAGCTTTATACTTGCCACTCTTCTATTAAGGCCAGATTTCTCGAGTACACTTACTTACTAGTTGTCCTGGGGGCAGATTCTGTCCACCTCCAGAGTTACCATGTGATTCCTGGTTGCTGCTTTATCAAGGACATCAAAATGTACTCAGGATAAATGTGACCTTTGACTTTGGTGATGATAGAGGAAATCATATCATAGACTAACTAAAGAGGTTACCAATATTGTATGTCAAGTAAGAGGTGTCTCTCTGTCACCTGTCCAAACATTCATTTCTTTGACTAGCTCCAGAGATCACTCTGAGGGTCACATGAAAGGTAACATGGTAGCAATGAAGAAACCAGAATAAATTAATTTCTTTATCTAGTGAGAACAATGTAAAATATTCAAAATGTCTAAACGCCATAAAGCCATACGTACAAGTAATTCTCCTTATACCACAGCATTTGACCAACATTATTTCCTATCATCAGGGCCCTTTGACCTTTTGGGGCTAACCGTTCGATTTTGGATGGAAGTGTGACAAATAAACCAGGATTAATGAAAACAAACGTCTCTGTTTATAAACTTTCATTACTTATTGCTTAATAAATAAAACAAGATGAATACAACAATGGTTGAGAATAAACCCTAAAAATTACATGAAATAAAACAGCAAATGCCTCGGAATTAACAGATACATAACTTAAACACAGTTAAATAAAATAAAATCTATGATTAAAATACACGAATGCTCCCACCTACTGGTGAAGGATGTGAACACCTTTACTCTGCGTCTCATTGAACTGAAGCAACACATGCGTGGAAAATAAATATTAGAGCCAAGAGCAACGAGTGTGCTACTTTTGCTGACACACATTCCATCGAACCAGGATTATTTATTTATATCGATTACTTAACTGTTATTCTAATGTTACCCTGGTAACCGCTGGCATCGCAGATGGATTTCTAGCATACAATTGCGTTGACTCTTACTATGAAAATCTACGTACTTCCGGTTTAGCGGCTCCCCGTATTTTATGGCCAAAACCCTAAAAGGGATTAACGGAGTAAAAAGTTGTGAGTTTGTCTCGTTTTTTGGTTCTAAGCGAAAAACGAAAAACGTACACGGACCCTATTGGGCCATGGTATAGGTTCGTTGGGAGAGGTTAGAAGAAAAGAATCAAGACACAGTAAATGGAGCCACTGAATGGTTTGATTTCAAAGGTTATGTTGAACTGTATGAATGTAGGAAAACAACATAGTATCAAGTAAAATAACATTGTGCTCTTATTGAAATATCATCAATTCCATTGAAATGGTAAATATATCTTTGAATTGTCTTGTGTGCCTTCGATTGGTGTCTCTTAAGATAAAGGTCCTTCCTTGGTTTCTTTCACAGTCCATTCAATTCAGTTCAAAGAATCAAATAAATAAAACAGTCGTGCGCTCTGTTGCTTTTTTAGTCCTACCACACTGGTCCACTCAGGTGATGAAAAATGAAAAGTTGTGAGAATATCTCAGTCCAACTCCTTGGAGGTAAGGAGATGATCGGGTTCAGTGGTGGCTCGCCATCTCCCTTATCAGGGAGAACTCAATATCCAGTATCCAGAGGCAGAAGGTATTCAGGGAACCTCTAAAACCTAGACTGTATAAAACAAAGCTACTACTACTATGACATTTTAACCAATTCAGAATTATGTTTAGCTATTTAACAATGAGTTCCCTTTTTTGAATCATGAACTGAGTAACAAGAAGAGTTTCACCGACTTCACATTCATGTTTTAAGATAATGTCAATGCAGATATTAAGTATTCTCTTAAATTTGATTAATATTATTAACGTTAACACTAGTGGTTCAAAACAGAGCAGTCACATATACAGTAGAACACAAACAAAGGTACAAAACAACCAAGAATAAATGATTTGGCAACAATCCCTATCAATTTGTTTCCAGCATACTATTAATGAACAATATGCTGCTTTAATTAAACATATAACACTCCATTTCACAGCTGTAAGGGCAGCTTCTATATTGATACCCTTGCGTTCACAGACACGTGGCTAATACAATTAGTATGCTGGCTGACTTAGCAAAACTCACTAAGACGCTGCCAAAAGTTGTAAATGTTGGATCGACAGTGACGCTGGGGTAGAGGGTGTGCTGGGAACTGCAAGGTTGGCGGTTTGATCCCCGGCTGCTCCATGTCCCATGTCAAAGTGTCCCTGAGCAAGACACCTAACCCCTAATTGCTCCCTGGCAAAAAATGTAAAAAGACATGGGTTAAAAATGCAATGTAAGTTGCTTTGGATAAAAGCGTCAGCTAAATTACCTGTAATGTAGACTCTTGGTGCAAAGTTCTCTATCACCTCTCTCCCATTGCATAAGTGCAGTTTCACAACGCACACAATGTGTTTTACTAGTTGTTACTGTGGTCGGCTGAATTCATTTGTACAACAGTTAGCACTCCCTCAGACTGATATTTTCTCACTCCTTAACATCAATTCGACTTCCTGGGAGGAGTTTGGGACTTAATTATTTTCTTCATTCGGAAGTCTGCATTTCCCAAAAGAACCAATGAAAAGCATATCTAGCTGTGATTGACACTTTGTTTAACGACCACAAATACATTAGAAAGAAATTAAATACTTGATTATCAATCTTGTTACAGCACAAATTAGACAATAAATAAAAATATGGTTACACTTCAAAGAATATTTTATTATAGAATTACAATCGTTAACTAACTAAATTAATTTAGCTTTCAGACAAATCAATTAATTTTATTTTGTATAGCCGCAAATTACAAATTTGCCTCAGAGGGCTTTACAGTCTGTACACATGCGAAAACAGACACACACATACACTTTACTGCACATTTATGTTCCGAGGTTGTGAGTATAAACTCAGCTATACGTACACTCACACAAACAGGCAGCCTCACATTCTGTTTCTATTTTCCTATCACAGATTTAGAAAGTCCGTTTTCACTAACCCGGGCTCAGCGTGTCAGGGCCGCCATGTTCCCAGAGACCCTGATGGAGGGGGAGGCGGCCATGCCAGTCCAATCAGATCCCTCACAGCAGAGCAACGTGCAACGTCTGGCTGAACCCTCCCAGCTGCTTAAGACTGCTATAGTTCACCTGATAAACTACCAGGACGACGCAGAGCTGGCCACCAGGGCAGTACCAGAACTCACCAAGTTGCTGGCAGACGAAGATCCGGTAGGTTGCGGTCAAACTGAATAATTAAGAATTCACTCAATGAGGTTTCAGAAACAACACATTGTATTTTGTTCTACTCCATAGATTGTGGTGAACAAGGCAGCCATGATAGTTAACCAGCTGACCCGTAAAGAGGCCAGTCGCCGTGTTCTGGTGCAGTCTCCAGCAATGGTGGAAGCCGTGGTGCGGGCCATGACAATGGCAGTAGACATGGAGATAGCCCATTGTGCGGCAAGTGTGCTCCACAGCCTGTCACACCAAAAGGAGGGACTGTTGGCGATATTCAAGTCCGGAGGGATACCAGCACTGGTCTGCATGCTAAGGTAGAAATACTGTGCTTTGATCTCAGCTGGTAGTGTACAGGAAGTTTTTACGGCCGATGGGGGGTGGCGACGACGACACGGCCGATGGGGGGTGGCAGCCCGGACATTACGGGACAGGTAGCTCAGGTGCTACCTCCGCCATTCTTTCAAATCGACACTTCGTCAGCTAAATGAAGCTTAGGCAAAAATTCAGTCAGGAAGACTGGACAGGCTGTGCCGTTCCCTGGTAGCCTCCTTTCTCCCTGGGGGCTCACGGCTAGCTGATTAGGGGCGGGGGCGGGTAGTACCAGCCAACCAGACGTGGGTGCCATTACCGTAAACCAGTTGCATCGGTGCAGGCAATGTTAAAAAACTGTTCTACTATCTTTTGCTGTCAGTTGTCATTTCAGCATGAACCAAAGGCGAAGCGAAGCGCTCAATTAGCGGGTCCTACACCACAGTGTTTCCGTAAACTCCAAAGGTCCGTTTGGACGGCGATCTATTGCGGAGAAACTACCTCAACAGTCCGACCGACAGGCGTAGTAGCACTAGCATACGAGGCGCAGCAAGTGGTGTAAGCACCAAGCTTCTCTCTGTCCAGATCTGAGTGGGTGAGGCTCACAGCTGGCAGAGAGCGAGTCGATCCCTCCCTGCCACCTGCACCAGGACGGGGAAGGACGAGAGAATCGCAAGCAGCCCATTATGTTTACATGTAACGTTAGCATTCAGCAGAAGCCTTTATCCAAAGGGACAATACGTGCATTCATCAGAGGGTACAGAACCAGAACAACAAGAAGCAAGAAAGTACAAATTATTATTGTAGAAATAAACTGCGACACTGCCAGAGGGAGGGAACCATCTGGAGAGAACTTTGGACCGCCCTGGACTACGGTGGGATTCCTCGCCGTCGTTGATTAGGAAAGATAAGTCCCCACAGAAACACTTCTCCGGATCATCCAACACCCTCACAACCCCACAAGCAACCCCACACACACACACCGGCCCACGCATGCTACTTTTCCCATATACCCACAATATCGGGACTCTTCACATATGACCTTCCGCAAAGGACGTTTCAGTTGATTATTTTTGTCCCTAAACATGTGGTTATTTGGAATTGGTGCACAGCTATGTTTTGATTGGTATTGTTAACAGGTAGGCCTACTCCTTTAACTGCCTGCACAGCGGAATAATAATTCCTGAGGATGAACACACATCCAGGCGTTTACCGGCCAATGAACATGTGGCGTTGTTTATTGTAGAACAGTGTGGGACATACTGCTCTCCGGGAGAGTCAGGTACAGAGATAAAGGGGTGGGGGGGGATATTGCCCTTATATGGTAGTGGTGTTGTCAGTCACACGTGACTCAGTTACATGCATTCATACACTCTGAAGAGGTATGCTATGTGTTTTCGTTCGAATACAGCAGCTTTTATCCTGAGGGCTATTGTACGAAACCAGGATAAGGGATTAAGCTGGGATATTCAGGTTCTCCTGGATGAATTTAGCTTTGACTTGGTTGCACGAAAGCAGGTTCAATGAAACCCAGCCAAGTAACCATATTGATTTATTCTCCACACCAGGCTAAGATTGATCCTGGAGTCTCATGTGTTAAATGATCCGAAAAACAAACATGTTATTCTTCTGAATGTGTTCGGATTTCATGTCAGGCAATATTTCGCGGACCGGTCAAGAAGAAATAACGAGGGTTAGTAGTCGTTGCGGGCGGACCGACAAGCTGAGTCGCAGCGGAAGTGACGTATGCGGTCGACGAATGAGTCCTTAAGGATGCAGCCTAGCGACTTTGAGACACAGCCACAGACAGACCAACAGGGGGGAGGGGGGGCGTATCCGCTGTTAGGCGAAACTGCCGTGCGCAGTGAGGAGTGAACAATTGTGAACGTGATGAGGGCGATATATAAAGTCCCATTAACCCGTGTTTCTACATGCACCATGGCGTGCCCATTTCTGAATCAGAAACGTGAGAGGATGTTTCGGGACAGATCAGACCCACAGCGCGAAGCCATGCTCTCACCATCCCACAGATGGTCTGTATGGCGCTGCGCTTTTTTGTAAGCAGCATTTTTTTATATGCCTAAACTGTAAATAAAGGCAGTATTTCCCATACTGTCAGAAGTGTGTGTTTGGCACTGAAGTCCTTGGCACACATATTTATTACCTTCCCTGGCCACAGATGTGTTACATCAAAGAGGATTTCCACAAGACAGTCCACATATGCCTGTAAAAATGGTGATTGTGTTTGATGTGCAGTCCTGTAGAATTTACCATGTATGAAAAGGGCAGTTTCTGCAGGTGGAACACAGTTAGTAGCTGTCCCACCCTGAATCCCTTCCATCACAGGCCTTCCTTGGTTTAAAACAAGGGCAAATTCCTCAGCTGGGGTGAAGCCTGGTGCTGGTGCCCCCCAGACACATGTGCCTTCTTCCTAACTGCTAAAATCAGTTTCGATAAAATATGTGAGCAATTTCTACATACCATTTGCAAAATGTTAAGGCACTTACCAGCCTGCTAAATGTTTTATATTTTATCTTGACCTGTTGCCAGGATCTTTTCCGTCCAGTCTTATTTGTTATTTGTATGTTGTTGCATACACCTCATGGGACAAAACACCCCCCAGTCCCCTGCTCGACGCGTCGGTCTGCAGAATAAAGGGGAGAGAGAAGTTAGGAGTATGAAGGAGTGGTTCCCCACAGAGAGCCTGCTTTACCTTCTCAAACGCCTGCTGGCACTGCTCCAACCACTGGACCGGATCTGACGCACCTTTCCGGGTGAGGTCGGTCAAGGGGCTGGTGAGGTCCGCGAAGCCGGGGATGAACCGCCTGTAATACCCCGCCGACCCGGGGCATTGGGTAGGCATCGAACCGTGACACGTCATTCACCCTGCGATAGTCCACGCAGAACCGTACAGATCAATCGTTAGTGGCCTTAGCCACAAGGACGATGGGGCTGCAGGCACTGTTGGACTCTTCTATTACCCCCAATTCCAACATACTGGCCCAATTCCCTCCGAACCACTTCTTTCTTGTGTTCGGGCAACCTGTAGGGTCGTGACCTCACCGTCACCCTCGGGGGCGTCTCGATACTGTGCACTGAGGTCGGGCCGGCCTGGCAAGGGAGAGAACACATTAGCAAACCGCTCCTGCAACCCGGCAACGTCCGCCCTCTGGCTCTCGGAGAGATGAGCCTCTCGAGGGAGCGAGGTATGATTACCTGCTTTTGGAACCTCCGGCCCCAGCTCCTCCCTTTCCGATACCGTAGAGACCAGAGAGACAGACTCCACCCCCCTCCAGGCTTTCAGGAGGTTCAGGTGGTATATCTGTGTATCCCCGCCCCTGTCAGACCGCACCACCTCGTAGTCGACGTCCCCCACCTGCCGTGTGACCTCAAAGGGCCCTTGCCACTTGGCTAGGAGTTTAGAGTTGGAAGTAGGAAGCAATACAAGTACCTTTTCTCCCGGTGTGAATCGTCGCAGCCTGGCCCCTCTGTCGTACAGCCGTTGTTGTCGCTCCTGGGCCTGCAGCAAATTCTCTCGTGACATCTGGCCCAGTGTGTGGAGTTTTGCTCGCAGGTCCAGGACGTACTGGATCTCATTCTTGCCGGGGCTCGGACCTTCCTCCCAGTTTTCTTTAATCAGGTCCAGCACCCCCCGCGGCGTCCTGCCAAACAAAAGTTCAAAGGGAGAAAATCCCGTGGAGGCCTGGGGGACCTCCCGCACTGCAAACAACAGAGGGTCAAGCCAGTGGTCCCAATTACGTTCATCGTCGCCAATAAATTTACGGATCATGGACTTCAGAGTCTTATTCATACGCTCCACCAGCCCATCCGTCTGCGAGTGATACACGCTAGTACGAATGGACTTAATGCCCAGTAACCCGTAAAGTTCTCTCAGTATGCGCGACATGAACGAGGTGCCCTGGTCAGTCAGAATTTCATTAGGGATTCCAACTCGGGAGATGACCTGAAACATAGCCTGCGCGACACTCTTTGCGGAGATATTGCGCAACGGCACTGCCTCCGGATATCGCGTTGCGTAATCCATGAGGACTAACAAAGCGATATCCGCGTGCGGTCCGGGGAAATGGCCCGACGAGGTCCATACCGATCCGCTCGAACGGAACCTCCACCAACGGCAGAGGGACGCAATGGCGCCCTCGGAATGGCCGGTGCGTTGACTAACTGACACTCTGGGCAGGACTCGCACCGGCGGCGCACGTCCCCCCGGATGCCTGGCCAATAAAATCGGGTCATTATCCGGTCTAGCGTTTTTTTGTGTACCATGTGACCAGCCATCGGGTTATAGTGAGCCGCCTGGAAAATCATTTCCCGGCGGCTTTTCGGTGTTTTCCTGCCCCGTCTGAGTGTCACGATTCACTCTATACAGTCTGTCCCTAATCAATGAAAAGTGCGGAAATGACTGCGCTGCGTCAGGGCGCACCAGGTGACCATCAATACGTATCACTTGGTCGTAGGCTGAGCATAGGGTATCGTCACGAAACTGTTCGAGTGGAAAATCTTCCATGGAGCGAAACTCTGGAGCCGGCGGAGTCTCTACAGGAGGCTCCGCGGTCTCCCCCTCCCCGTCTGCAGCGTCGGACGACCCTGCGTCACCGCTGAGCACAGCGCACATCTCGCATAACCCTGTCGGTCGTGAACGCACCCCCGTAGCCCCGCCCATTAACTTATCAAACCCCGGCCAATCTGTACCTAAAATGACGGGGTGCGTCAGGTGGGGAGCTAACCGCAACCTTCATTCTATGCTTTTTCCCTGCATATCTAATTTCCACCAATACCACAGGATACTCGTGAAGGTCCCCATGCATACACCGTATTCTCAACTGGTCTGCCTCCACCAATGCCCCCTGCCGAACCAGGCTCTGGTGAATCATAAACTGCGTACAGCCCGAATCCACCATCGCCTGGCGTGTACCCCCCTGGATTCTTACCGGAACGCGGTACGTCGCTCACGGACCGGGGGAGGGTGCCGGAACGCCGGCAACTCGGATCACCTGTCCCACCTCCATCAGCGGGCACTCTCTGCGGAGGTGACCGAGCCGCCCGCACTTCCAACACTCCTGCCCCTGGGGCTGGTGGGTCGCGGGCCGGGGTACAAGGTGCCTGCCGCGGAAATGGCCTGGGCCGCTCCTCCGTCCGCGATGGCCTCCCTCCCCCCGCGGGGAGGGGCCGGGAGCCCCTCCCCAAACTGTTCCAGCACCACCTGCGCCATCACCCCTCGGACTCCTCCAGCGCCGTCCGGCTGCAGCCACCTCATTGCGGCGTTTTTTAGCCGCTGGGCGCGAACGGCCGGTCCTGTCGTCCCAGCCTGGCCTCACGGAATCGTGGGCGGTGGTCCTCTGCAGACAGTCCCATGCTGTCCACTACGGCCCTTTTAATGCTGGCGTAGTCGCGCCGCGCCGCCGGTGGCAGCCCCATGGCCGCGATCTGCGCCTCCCCGGCCAGGAGAGACAAAAGCCAGATCGGCCACTCCCCCGCTGGCCAGCTGCACGCCTCCGCCTCCGTCTTGAAGGTCTCCAGGAACGCTTGGACGCCGTCCCCCATCATCATTCGCTGGGGTGTGAGCCCGGCGAATGCAGCGGGCTCCTGCATCAGCGGCGCGGCCTGAGCGACCCCAGGAACTGCCGGTTCGCCTCCGCCTGCTCCCTCTGGATGGCCGCCAGCTCTCCGATCATTCGGCCGAGCGCCACCAGCGGGTGGGCCGGCGTCCCCAGCTGGTGTCCGTCATCCACGGCGTCCTCCCCCGAGCCAAGTTGGGCGCCACTGTGACGGGTTCGTCCTACGGGGGGGGGGGTCTCGGAATGACGAGAATGCACGAGAATGCAGCGGTTGGTTCCATTTTACACTTTATTTTACTGTCAATCATGGACAGCCGGCTCCAGCCTCCTCGTCTGCTCAGCCCCCTCGCTGTCGCCGGATCTCTCCTACTTCAAGGCAGAACAAACACACACACTGATTAATCTCAGCTGAGGCTGATTATGCCTCGTTATGCACCGTTCCCCGAACCACTCCCTTCTCCGTCCCCTCTGCAGCCGAGCCAAACCCCGCCCGCCACCACAACCGCTTATAGAGAACTTTCCTAGTATAGATATTTTTAAATCCTTCCGCATTCAGTCGGTCCGCGATTGTCTGCCAGGCTTTTTCTCTCTGTTTAATCACAGCTGCTGTTTTTCCTGTTTTTTGCAAATTATATGCTTCACCTCCTCAGAAGTTTCCATAATTAGTTGCTGCTCAGCTGGTGAAAAATATGCCGCGCACATCTTCTCCATTTCTGCATCGGTAAATCTGATCGATACTTAAGAAATCTGTGAATGTGCAGTTATCCCAGCGTTGTACACCTGGATTGATTTAGCTCCCCCTTCTCATCCTGGCTCAGCAAACGTGCACCGATTAAGCCGAGATGTGCCGATCACACTAAGCCAAGCTTCAGTTTTTCTGTTATCCTGGATTTCTTTATTATACTTTTGTACAATACTCCCCAGGTTGTATTGGCTTTCTTGTTTGTATTTGTGAGATTTGATTTATGTTACCTTTTGCAGCGGGGTTACCTAGCTGGTCGGGTTAATTATTGCACCTTGTTCGGAGGAAAAAATTATAAATGTGACAGGGAATAACGTAGATTATTTGCCAGGCCGACGTATCTTTTGGATTAAAGACGAAAACCTACACTACAATTTTGTGTCAGATGCAATGTCAATGATTGTACCAACCTTCAGCCCTGCATTTGCAGTGACCTCCCTGAGCATCATGATGAAAGAAGCATTGTTTGTAACTGCGGTTTTGTTTTTTGGTGAAAATCTTTCTGTACCATTCTCCTGGTTTTGAGGAAAGTTCAGACAAGAACTCCCCGTGCTCTTCTGTTATCTTTTACTTTACATGTCATTTAGCTGACACTTTTATCCAAAGCGACTTACAATAAGTGCATTCAACCATAAGGGTACAAACTCAGAAGAACAAGAAAGTGCAATTTCCTCAAATAAGCCAATTTACAAGAGGCGTTATAAATACAATCTAAGTGCTACAATTTGTTAGTCTTTAGTCGAGGTAGAGTCTGAAGAGGTGTGTCTTTAGTTTGCAGCGGAAGATGTGAAGGCTCTCTGCGGTCCTGGTGTCTTCAGAGAGCTCGTTCCACCATTTTGGAGCAAGGACAGCAAAGAGTCGTGATCTGGTCGAGTGTTTTGCTCTCAGTGAGGGAGGGACGAGCAGTTTTGCAGATGCAGAGCGGAGAGTGCGGGTCGGGATGTAGGGTTTGACCATGTCCTGGATGTAAGCTGGACCCGATCCATTCACAGCATTGTAGGTGAGCACCAATGTTTTGAACTGGAAGCGGGCAGCCACCGGTAGCCAGTGAAGAGAGCGGAGGAGTGGAGTAGTGTGGGAGAATTTCGGAAGGTTAAAGACCAGTCGAGCTGCTGTATTCTGGATGAGCTGCAGAGGTCGAATGGCGGTAGCAGGGAGACCTGCCAAGAGCGAGTTGCAGTAGTCCAGGCGTGAGATGACAAGAGCCTGAATCAGTACCTGGGCAGCCTTCTGAGTGAGAAGAGGACGTATTCTCCGGATGTCATAGAGAGTGTATCTACAGGATCGTGTTGTCGCAGTAATGTTGGGAGTCAGGGAGAGGTGGCTGTTGATTGGGATGCCGAGGTTCCTAGCGATTAAAGTGGCCGTTAACACGAAGTTGACAGTCAAGTCCTGGGTCGGAGAGTCTTTTCCTGGAAAGAGAAGTAGTTCAGTCTTGTCGGGGTTGATTTTCAGATGGTGGGCGGACATCCACTGAGAGATGCCAGTCAGACAGGCAGAGATCCGTGCCGCCACCTGGGTTTCCGAGGGAGGGAAGGAGAGAATTAGTTGTGTGTCATCTGCATAGCTGTGGTAGAAGAAGCCATGCGAGCGAACGACAGCGCCGAGAGACTTGGTGTAGAGCGAGAAGAGAAGGGGACCCAGGACGGAACCCTCAGGAACGTAGTAAGAGCACAAGGTTCCGACACAGATCCTCGCCAGGTTACCCAGTAGGTGCGGCCGTCGAGGTAGGACGAGAGAAGGGAGAGAGCAGAGCCTGAGAGAGCAGAGCCTGAGAGCCCGTTGTTATGGTGTAGATAGGAGGAGAGTTGGTTAAAGATCGCACGTTGAAGGGTTTTGGACAAAAAGAGAGACTGGTCTGTAGTTGTTTTCTTCAGAAGGGTTGAGAGTAGGTTTCTTCAGGAGAGGATTAACTCTTGCCTCCTTCAGAGAATTGGGAAAACAGCCAGATAACAGCATTGTTGATGAGACAGGTGAGGAAAGGAAGAAGGTCAGGTGCGATAGATTGTAGAAGATGTGATGGAATGGGGTCAAGAGGGCAGGTGGTCGGACGGGCAAAGGTTACTAGGGTAAGAATTTGGTTAGGAGACAGGGGGCTGAAAGAGGAAAGTGAGGGTGATAGAGGTGAAGCCAGTTGTATGTCAGCTATTTTCTTGGTAAAGTAGTTCGCGGAGGTTGGAGAAGATCGAAAAGAGTTTTTTGGGGTTAGAAAATAAAGATTTGATTCTGGATTGGAAGAAAGAGCTTTTGGCAGCAGAGATAGAAGCAAAAAAGAGGAGAGAAGAGATTGAAATTCAAGCAGGTCGTCAGGTCGTTTATATTTACGCCATCTCCTTTCCGATACTCGCATGGTGGCTCTCATGGCACGCACCAGTTGAGACAGCCACGGAGCCGGAGGGGATTTGCCTGCCTGTCGTGTCATAAGAGGGCAGAGAGAGTCTAGAGAGGAGGAAAGAGTTGAGAGGAGAGTCTCAGCAGCAGCGTTCGGATGCAAGAGTAAGAAGGAGTCGGTGGAAGGGAGAGCTGATAGAACAGAGGATGCTAGGGAGGAGGGAGAGAGGGAGCGAATGTTGCAACGAACAGGTACAGAGTCAGTCAATGGGGCAGGGTCGTTAGTTATAGACAGTGGAAGAGAGTAAGAGATGAAGAAGTGGTCAGACACATGAAGTGGAGTAACCGAGAGGTTAGTGGTAGAGCAGTTTCTAGTAAAGATGTAGTCATGGTGATTGCCGGCTTTGTGAGTAGGGGGAGAGGGACTGAGTGACAGAGCGAAAGAAGAAAGTAGGTGTAAGAGGTCAGATGACTTCTCTGTCTGGATGTTGAAGTCACCCAGGAGGATGAGCAGCGGGCCATTTTCAGGGAAGTTGGAAAGGAGAATGTCCAGTTCTTCCAAGAAATGACCCAAGGAGCCTGGCGGACGGTAAAGGACAACAATGGTTAATTGCACCGGGTGAGTAACTGTTACAGCATGGAATTCAATAGACAGTGGGGTGGATGGTGGAAGAGGCTAAAGAGAAAAGCTCCATTTGGGTGAAATGAGTAGACCTGTGCCACCACCCCTGCCAGTGGGCCTGGGTGTGTGGCTAAGGGAGAAGACGGAGGAGAGAGCGGCTGGGGTGGATGTGTTCTCAGGTGTGATCCAGGTCTCGGTGAGAGCGAGGAAGTCAAGCGACTGCTGGATAGCGAAGCCGGAGATGAAGTCTGCCTTGCGAGTAGCTGACTAGCAGTTCCAGAGGCCTCCTGTGATGAGGTGCTGGACATGAGTGGAGCGGGTGGGATAGGTGAGAGAGGAAAGGTTACGATAGAGAGCGGATCTGGCCCGAGGCCTGTAGTATCTGCGGGAAGAGGTTCGGACAGGTATGGATAAAGGGGTCAAACACATAATTAAAACTAGAAGAAGGCGCCGCATTCAGCCGCCCCGAAGACTCCTACGAAAGACTCCCTAGTCTTTGTCCTGCTTGTCTTGCGAGGATAAGCAAACGCTGAAGCTAGCGCTTCACTCGATCTGTAGTTAAATACTTCCTCGTTAGTGGAAGTCGGCTACGGCTGCGCTGACCACTCCTCCCTCGACAAAAACGTTGATTGGCCTCGACAGAAACTCCTCAAAATGCAAAACACCTATTGCCTGACACTATCAGTGAACAATCACCATGTGGCGTTTTGAAAAACTGAGTTTAAGGATTCAAGTCTTATTTGATTCAGAAGTGAAGGCAAAACAGATCAGGTCAAACCTAGCAGAGTACAGTACAGTCTAGAGCACCAACTGGCGCTAAAAAAGTGAAAGAGTTTAAGCAAACTAGGAGCCAAGATAACCTCAAACAGAGAGAACTGGCAGTAAAACGGCAAGAACTAAAGCAAATCACCAATCAAATTAACTTAAGACACTAGAATCAACAACAAATTTAGCAGACTAGCTTGGTTTAAAGAAAAAGATACTTAGTCCGATTTCAGGTCGCCTGCATGTCTGGAAGAGATGCACGCTTTTATCTTGCTTTTATTTTTGCTGACCCTTTCACTCTTTCTCGCCTCACCCATTTTTAGTTATCTTTCTGGGCAGAGAATGTAATGGTGGTCTGGGGTGCCTCCTCCCTTTTTGTCTTTATTTCTGCATAAGAAGGTATCTCTGCAATATACACCGTCATTATCGCATCAAAGACATTTTGTGCATGCTTCCAGTTTTTTAAACGGATTTCTTTTCAGGTAGCTTCAGCCCTTTCAACTTCCTACAAAAGATGTTACTACTGTGTCCACTTGCCACACACACACACACCACATACATCATCCAACTCTCCTTTCTTTGTGGTTCTTGTTGAAGCATATTTACGATAATTTATTTTCTGGACGGTCTAATTTCTCCATCTTCTCCACAATCTTTAGCTGTTCAAGCCCCTCTAGGATTTCTTTTTATTTATGAGCATGTCAAAGTGATTGTCTGAAGTGACATCATTTGCAGGGTTGACCATAAACAACCCTATCCAGCCAATAGCCAGTCTCTTTTTATAGAGTCAGGTAACTCACTCTCAATAGATTTATTACCAGTGGATTATTTATGGCTCTGGAGTTTCCCAGCTCTGTGGGATCTTCTATGGCCCTCTCCACAGACTGGATGAGGTCAATGACTTCCCTTGGCTGGTTCCATTTGTTCTGCAATTCTCCGTGCAGTTACAAATTCAGCTGTTCCATGTCTAAGCCTGTTGCTAGCTGTTCTCAGATTATTTACTCTGCTGTCTAGTTCATCCTTTGCTAGCTCAGGGATCCATCGCTTCAAAGTTGACATCACTGGTGTGAGCTCCTTTATCAGCTTCTCTGAGAGGGTCAGATATACTTAACACATAGCATTCCAAGTTGGTACTTAACAAGTACCAACTTCACAGGCTTTTTCGGCTTTGAAGATTGACATTTTGAGTTAATTAATTCCATACCTTGACCACTGTCACACATACGCCCACATAATAGTTTATTTTTCATCTTCACTGCATGTTCACTAACTCTCATGTCATTTCAGATCCTCCCACCTTGTCACCTGATTTCCTGCACCTGGTTCTCCTCACCCTCACCTGTGGTGCCTCCCCTCGTCAGTCACTCACTATTTAAGCCCGTCACATTCTGTTGCTCACTGCCAGATTGTCTTGTGTGTTTAACCAAGTTTTCCAGCGTGTCCCTAGTTATCCTGTCTACCTCTATCCTGACCTTGTCTGTTCCTCGAACCCGATTTATCTGCCTGCCCCGTTTCAGATTTATCTGCCTGTCTGTTTGCCATCCTGGTTCTGACCCTGCCTGTCCTCGTCTGCGGATTACCTGCCTGCCCCTCTGGAATTGTTTGCCTCTCGACGGATCTCCCGGTTTTGGACTCAGCCTGAACTTTCATTAAAACCCCTCTGTCTTGTCCATCGTGTCAGAGTCGTGCGTTTGGGTTCTCCTGTACTCCGGTACCAGTAACCGTGACAGTACAATCTGGCCAGACATGAACCCAGCACGTACCGAGCCCGAAACCCCGACCCCAAGCAACATGTCGCAACGCCATGAGCAGCAGCTCCACTTTATGGCTGAGGCCATGCAGTCAATGTCGGCCCGCCATGAGAGCAGCATGGAGTCCCTCCGCGACCACCTGCGGAACCTCGCCGCAGTGACGCGTACTCCGGACGTCACTTCCGCTGCTACCCAAGTACCCCCCCCGCTCCGATGTCCGACGCACGTCTTCCTCCCCCCGAGCGTTGTTCCGGTGCTCCCGGTTCCTGTCGACCGTTCCTGGTACAGTGCTCGCTCGTCTTCGAGCTCCAGCCGTCCGCGTTTCCAACGGAGAGGTCCCGGGTAGCGTACATTGTTTCCTTGCTCACGGGGAGAGCAAGGGATTGGGAAACGGCCGAATGGGCTAAGCAGACTTCTATATGCTCCTCCGTCGTGTCGTTTTCCGCGGCGATGCAGAGGGTTTTTGATCATGCCACTCCCGGACGGGAGGCGGCCGGGGACTGTTTAGGCTGCAGCAGGGAAGGCGATCCGTTTCCGACTATTCCATTGACTTTCACACCATGGCAGCGGAGAGTGACTGGAACCAAGCCTCCCTTCGCGATGCCTTCTACCACGGATTATCCAGCCGCGTAAAGGACGAATTGGCAGCTCGGGATCTCCCTGCTGGTTTAGACGAGTTGGTCGCTCTCTCCATTCGGATTGACGGCCGTCTGCGGGAGAGGAGAGAGGGTCGCTTACGCAGTTTTAGGATCACCGCCGCGCAAGTTGCAGGAACCTCGGCGGGCACCAACCGAGGGTGGACCTGATGAGTCTATCGCCGGACCCAGGGCCGTTTGAAGGAATTTGGGGGCCCCAAGCAAAATGGACATGGAGGCCCCTCCAAGCCCCCGCCGCGCGCACGCAAAACCTACAGGAACCACAGCACAGCCATAAAGTTCACCCACACTTTATAGAAATAAAGGGTTTACAGTGCATAAACCTAATGTGCATGAAATTTGAACATTTAACAATTTAACATTTGCACACTACCATAAAATCAAATATACATTAAAGTGCACAATAACTAAATCCAACATACTTAAACACACACACATATACATTCACACTAACATTTTTCAGTTCTCACAAACATGTGCAAATTATCTAAAACTGCCGTTTGCGAGCCTTGTTTTGTGCAAAGGCAATCACAATGTCCTCCATGTCCAAAGTCTGGCGAACATCGCGCTCCAGTCCTGTGAGCCTTTCTTGGTCCATGGTGGACCTCCATGTAATTTTTTATCAGCTTTTATAGCTGAAAAGCTCCTCTCACCAGAGGCCACAGACACAGGGAGAGTCAGGAGTGGACGCAAAGCAATGCTTAAATTACTGTACAAATCCAGTAGCTTCTCACTGTATATGTAATTAACCATGTCAAATGGGGAAGTGGCTACGTGGTCTGGAAAAGTGTAGAGCGATGAATTGATCTCAAGTGCCAATTCATCAGCATCAATGTTATGGAGAGTTTGTTCCAATTTTTTGCATCGTTCATGAAACTTTCCATTCTTTATTGTCTGCTTCATGTTGTCCTTTGAGAACAGAAAGTCATAAAGGTCATAAACACCCTTCAATCTTGAAAACCTGTCACTTAGGCTTCTGAGGGCTGTGTCAACCATGGGCAGAAAGAAGTCTCTACTGAAAGTCTCGTCTGGAGTAGACTGAGTGTCCTCTGTACCTTCATATAGAGACAGTTTTTTCTTTTTACGCGGCCTTTTTTCAGGAAGGGTCATTTCCATATCCAGATTTTCTGCAATGTCTTTTGCATCAGTTTGACAGGAAGCAATCCCATTTTCCCTTCTTCAAGGTAGTCTTTTATTCCTTCCGTATCTGATCTGAGTGTTTCCATGGAAACATTTTGACTTTGTAGCAGCTTGCTGACATGATTGATCTGGTACAACACATTGTACCAGGTCATTGTGCAAAGCAGAAAAGACCTGGGCCCGTATCCCTAAAGAATTTTTGTGCAAAAAGTGGCTCCTAGCGGCCAAATTCTCAGAGTCATGACGTTTTCTTAGAATTTCCCCTAAAAGTGACACGAAAATCCCAGTTAATATTAAAGCTATTCCTCAAGATTCCTAGTGCTTAAAAGGGCTCCTAAGGCGAGATCTGCTAAGAGCAGGGAAGAGGACGTTTAGTGGCTTAAGAGTTCCCCTTAACAGCTGCACAAAATGACCAACACAGGAGGCAGGAGAGATGTCCTGCAAACACTGACAGGGTGATGACAGGGAATTATTGAGACGCTACAGATTGGATCGTGCAGGAATCATGTTTGTGGTGGATCTCCTTAGAGATGCAATTACTTCACCAACTCGACGCCACAACGCTATTACACCGGAGAAGAAAGTAATCACAACCCTGAGGTATTTGGCAACAGGGAAATTGCAACAATGCAGCAGGGCCCACAAGACAACAAGAGCGGTGGTGGAGCGTGGCATAGGCCAGCTTAAGAGGCGCTTTCATATTCTCCACGGAGAGGTGCGGCTGAGGCCTGAAAAAGTCAGCAAAGTCATCATAGCCTGTGCAATATTACACAATATTTGCAAGGTTAGACAGATTGCAGAAACTCTGGAGGATGGCGATGAGGATGGTGGTGAAGAAGATATTCACATTCCACAGGGAAACCTAGCCCAGAGTGGACTGCCTTACAGGGCAAACAAATTTACATTTCAGGCAAGCTGTAGCCCCATGTCATTTGAGAACTTGTGATGGTATTAAGAACTTCCACAGTTTTACTGCACATCACCTGCAATTGTTAAATGCAAGACACAGAACACAATCTCTAAATGGTTTCTTTTTTAGCTGTTCAATTTTAAGGCGGTAGTACTCCTCCTGAAGGGAAAGGACTTTTTCTTGTTGTTCAAACGCATCAATTGTGAGTTGCAATCTTCTCTCCTGCAGGGATGCTGACGGAGCAGGTGCTGCGGATGGGAATGGTGTTTGATCCGCCGGGCTATCCTGAGTAGCAGCTGCAGATGGTTCAGGCGTCAATCTTGTCAGCAAACTTCATGGGCCCAGTTCTTGTGATGGCTCCATGCTACATAAATACATAGGCCTAGTTTAATTATTGTTTTGATCAAATTAATTTAATACAATGAGCATGGATAACACATGAAATGGCTTCTGCAATGAATAAACACTGTTGATATGAATAACCCTGTGTCCTACCTTTGCTGCATTTCGAGGGCCTGCATCATTGACGTGTCAATGCCTGTTGGCAGCCCGGTGACACTGACCTCAGAGTGTCCCAGGACTTGAAAGACAGTGTCGGCCACTTGGGACAGCCGCTTTGCAGGTGGTCCACCCCCTAGAAATAAACAGTCAATGAACACAGTACTTAGGCATGTAAATTAACTTTGCCAGCAGGAGCAAGTTGCCAGATTATGTGGTAGGCTATAGTATTTTGCCCACCTGTGAGTGAGGATTCCCGCTTGTGTGCTGCAATCTCATTTTTTGCCTTTGACTGCAGCACATACCACCTTTTCTCACAATCGTCGCCTGTCCGCACCACCAGTGGAAAAGAGTCATTGATTGTTTGGGATATTGTGTCCCAGGCGCGCCTCTTGCCTTGGCTGGTGAAAGTTGGGCCAAATTTTCCTCGTAACATACCTTTATGTTCTTTCACCAACTGGGCCAGCAACAAACCTTGCTCCTCAGTCCAGTTCGGCTTGCAATTCCTTTTTTTCTCCATTTTATGTGTTTGTAAGATATTTGTTAACAAGCCTTCATAAATAGACCAGCCAGCAATCACAGACATTGATAAAAGCTGAGCCGTGTTATCCTCGTTAAGACCACACTGAGTTGTAACGTTGCAATTTCTATTTCATTAAGGACAGCCCCTTGAGATAGGCCATCTTGTTTTCAATGGGGTCCATATGGGAGTGAAAGTACAAAATTTGCCAGCTAGGATATTAATATGAGCAAATAAGACACAAATCATTATTTGAACAGGGTGTAATGAGCTTAAGTTTTCACATATTTTAGATTCTAATGTTATGCTATAAACCCTACAGCTTACTATTCATTTTCCAGATATTTTCTTGAATGTGAAATATTATTTACAATTACAGTCTGCATAAGATTATAGTGTATAATTATGTTTATTGATTTGAGGGTACATCCTTTGCTCATTATCACCAAAAGTTCATTTTCATCAAACTTGTAGGATCAACCAATCACGGCTTTTGAAATGATGACTCATACCTAGCAACGGGGTAAACCACACCTCCTCACTAAGATAGGATTTTCCATCCATTCCTTGCTCAGAGTTCACTGAAAATGTTCTGGAATCACTTCTAAGCTAAAACTCCTGGCAAGGAATTTTTAGGTTAAGTTAGGAGCTCTCTGAGAGGATTCTCAGAATCTTTAGGGATACGGGCCCAGGTCTTCAACTCACCATGTAAGCTTTTAGCAGTGGACATGGTCTCTGAGTCCCCCTTCTCTATAGCAAACGTCTGGAGTGCAGACAATGCATCCAGGATCTCTGGTAACTGGTATCGCACCACCTTCACGCTGTGAATCCGAGCTTCCCATCTTGTTGTTGACAAAGGTTTTAAAGTGAGCTGCTTTACATGTTCCTTTAGAACTGCCTAGCGTTGCACAGAGGAACTGAATAAGTTATAGAGTCTTTGCAACACACCAAAGAAGGAGATGGACACTCTGTACACATGGCATCCATTGTAGTCTGTCCATCCCGGGAGTGGGATCCCTCCTCTGACGTTCTCCCTAAGGTTTCTTCCCTTTTTTCCCTCTTGGAAGGGTTTTTTCAATTTTCATTTTCCTGTGCCGATGGTGGGTTTCGGGACAGAGGATGTCGTATGTGTACAGACTGTAAAGCCCTGTGAGGCAAATTTGTAAATTGCGATTATGGGCTATACAAAATAAAATGAATTGAATTGAAAACTGAATAAGTTATAGAGTCTTTGCAACACACCAAAGAAGGAGATGGACAGCACTGAGGACTTGGCAGCATCTGCCACAACCAGGTTAAGTGTGTGACTGCTGCATGGAATGCAAAATGCTTTGCTGTTCAATTGCAAAATTCTTGTCTGAACACCCTGTTTATGGCCCATCATATTGCTGCCATTGTCATAAGACTGACCACTGCAGTCAGAAAGACTCAGGCTGTGTTTCTGCAGTTGGTCAAGCAGGACTTTAGTCAGGCCCTTACCAGTTGTGTCTTCAACATCTAAAAATCCAAAGAAATGTTCTGCAATGGACACAGATGGTTCGCAATTGACAATTCTCAGAACAATGGAAAGCTGTTCCTTATGACTGACATCAGGAGTGCAATCCATAATCACAGAGTAATACTTTGCTCTGTGTACTCTTCTCACAATCTCTTTCAGTATCTTGTTTCCAATTAGTGCAACTATTTCATTTTGAATAGTTCCACTCAAGTAATGCACTCTTGTCTCTTGGTTTTGTATCCTTTTGATGTGTTCAGTCATAACTGAATCAAACTGTGCCATCAGTTCAACTTCTGCCAGAAAAATTCCCATTGTGTGGGTCATACAACTCTCTTGTGGTCCCTCTTAAAGCCTGGTTGCGTTCTGCTAAGTGACAAATTATGGCAATCACTGTTCTTATGACAAATTTCCAATGCTCAATCTCGATCTGCATCAAGTATTGTTGTCTTTGATCGATGGTTGTATTGGTTTGCAGTCTCCTCTGCAGCTCAGTCCACTTTGTCATGTTGTCACAATGCCCCTTTGAATATTTGTGTTCTTTTAAATGATGAGCTAGGTTCCTCCATGTACGGAAGCCACAGTTGCTTAAGGCATTGTCACGCTTCCCAAAAACCGTGCAGGCAAAACAGAACACTGAGTCTGTGCCCATGGAATATAACATCCATGATCGAAGAATTTTCTCCCCATTTTTCATGGTTCTCATGTAATTGTCATTTGTGAATCTTCGAGGTGGATTTTCAGAATTTTGAGGGAATACAATGTTTGTGACTTGCACAGGTCCTGTTTTAACAATTTGACAGCGCACACTATCAGTCAGGAGGACTGCTGGCCACTGCGCAGGGTCATCAGCTATAATTTCAGTCCTTGTGGTACCTTGAGCTGTAGAGGTAACCTCAGTGTTGGGTGCAGACTCAATTTCTGTTCTGGATGCAGTGTCTTCCAGTGTGAGAGATGCTATTGACGGTGTATCTGGGGAAAATAAAATATCTGTCGTGGTAAAGAATGCATCACTTAGTGTCTGACACCTAGAAATTTGACAGGCACTACTGTATTATTAACAATTCTGAAATGTCCATGGGCAAAGGTGACTGGTATTTACACAGTTTGGTGGGAATTGTGATTTGCACTGTTTTTTTTTCTAACAATATGACAGCACAAACTGTGCAGAATATCAGCTGTAATCATAGAGCTTGTGGTGGTGGTGGTGGTGGTGGTACTGTGCTATAGAGGAAACATCAGCACTGAGAAGTGATGCATCTGTTGATGTTATAGCTGGGAAAATAATTGAAAAGAAATCTGAAATTACCTGTGAAGTATAGCATAGTTAGCATATTGAAAGAGGTCACTATTAACAGCTCAGTGAGAGAAATTCACTCTACCTTCATCAGTGGAGGTATCGTTAGGAAGAGCCTGAGGGCTGAGAAATTTAAGCAAAGTCCCGACCGTGACAGCTCCAGTTCCGTTCTCCAAACAAGTCAATGACGCACGAAAAACTCCTGGTTGCTGTGACGCATCCGACCAGTGTGCGCGGGTGCCGCCGACCGCTAAGAGCTACACTGTTCCTGTTCTGATTGACTCCGGCGCAGATGCCAATCTCCTCGACCGGGACCTGGCCATCAAGATGAGGATTGAGCAAGTAGCTTTGGAAAGACCCATCCGGGCCACGGCGTTGGACGGCCGGCTACTCTGCAGGGTTAAGCATCAAACCACCCCTCTGCGCTTGGAGATGTCAGGTAACCACAGTGAAGCAGAGGTGATGCACCTCAACAACCAGTCATTTTGGGATTTCCATGGTTTAGGAGGCATAATCCGCATATTGACTGGGCTACTAGGACTATATTTGGGTGGAGTCCTCAGTGTCACGCGGTTTGTTTAAAGCCTGCATCTGCCATTAGCCGCTCCGTGTCTCCGAGTCCCCAGATCTCACTGGCGTACCCGAGGATTACCACGACGTGAGGGAGGTGTTCAAGGCTCGGGCCACCTCACTACCACCTCACTGCCTGTACGATCGTGCTATAGACCTCCTTCCGGGCACCTCGCCCCCAAGAGGGCGACTATTCTCTCTGTCGGCCCCTGAGACTAGGACTATGGAGAAGTACATCAGCGACTCCTTGGCTTCCGGCCTCATTAGACCGTCGTCATCCCCAGCCGGCGCTCGGTTCTTTTTTGTGAGAAAGAAGGACGGATCCCTGCGACCCTGTATTGATGACAGAGGACTCAATAACATCACCATCAAAAACAGGTACCCTGTGGCGGTTCATTCGGAACTACAGTTCTGTGGCCGCTCCTCTCACCGCTCTAACCTCCCCACAAGTGCCCTTTCAATGGACCTCGGCAGCGGCCAGGCCATTCGGGGAATTGAAGACACAGTTTACCTCTGCCCCTATCCTTGTTTTCCCAGACCCTGCTCACCAGTTTGTGGTGGAGGTGGATGCATCAGACACCGGCATAGGAGCGGTTCTCTCGCAGCGGTCGTCTACAGATCAGAAGGTTCACCCATGCGCCGCCTTCTCCCGGAAACTGTCCTCCACGGAGAGAAACTATGACATCGGGGATCGGGAGTGGTTAGCGGTAAAGCTTGCACTGGAGGAGTGGAGACACTGGCTGGAGGGAGCTGACCAGCCGTTTATGGTATGGACTGACCACAAAAACTACATAAAAAAAGTACAAGTACATTCGCTCTGCCAAGCGGTTGAACCCCAGACAGGCAAGGTGGGCCCTATTTTTTAACCGTTTTGAGTTTACTCTATCCTACCTCCCGGGCACGAAGAATGTCAAACCTGATGCCCTGTCCAGTCAGTACCAGTCCAGGAGCTGCGTTCAGGGTCCGGAGAACATTCTCTCTCCTGAATGTGTTGTTGGGGCGGTGACCTGGGAGGTGGAAGAGGAAGTAAAACGGTCCCATTCAGCGCAACCGGCGCAGAGTGCCTGTCCTGATAACCTTCTGTTTGTCCCAGCGAATCTGCGTTCGAAGGTCCTGCAGTGGGGTCACTCTTCCCGCCTGGCTTGTCACCCGGGAGTGATCCGCACGCTAGCTCTGCTTAAACAACGGTTTTGCTCAGCATAAGGGCTCTCGCAAGGCTCCATCCGGCCTCCTCTATCCCCTGCCCATCCCTCATCGTCCCTGGTGCCACATCGCTTTGGATTTTGTAACCGGTCTACCCCCATTTGACGGTAACACAGTTTTTCTAACGGTAATTGATCGCTTCTCCAAGTCTGCTCAACTCATTCTACTACCTAAGCTGCCTTCTGCTAAGGAGACAGCAGAATTACTATTACAGAGAGTGTTCCGCCTGCATGGTCTGCCCGTCGATGTGGTCTCTGATCGGGGGCCACAATTCACGTCTCATTTTTGGTCCGAGTTTTGCAGGCTACTGGGGGCCACAGTCAGTTTATCGTCTGGATTTCACCCACAGTCCAACGATGAGGCGGAGCGGATGAACCAGGAGACTTCTCTACGCTGCATCTCTTCCCGCAACCCCTGCTCTTGGTCCCAGCAACTCCTATGGGT